CCATGGCCCACCATGAACCATGATCTATAATCCATGTTCCACCATGATCCGTGATCCATGACCAATGTTCCACCATGATCCATGGCCCACCATGATCCATGATCCGTGATCTATGACCCACCATGATCCATAATCCATGATCTATGATCCACCATGATCCATGGCCCACCATGATCCATGATCTACTGTATAATTCATGTTCCACAATGATCCATGACCCACCATGATCTATGATTCACCATGATCCATGATCTTTGATCCACCACGATCCATGATCCACCATGATCCATGATCCACCATGATCCATGATCCACCATGATCCATATTCCACCATGATCTATGTTCCACCATGATCTATGTTCCACCATGATCCGTGGCCCACCACACTGAGAACAAACTGAACACAGAACAAACTGAACGCACAGCAATCTTGATGTTCTGGAGGTGAAGACGAGAATCAGGTTCAGACAGGAATGCAATCCAGCTGAGATGAGGACTGAGGGTGAGGAGGAGGAGGAGGAACTCACCCTGTGCCCATCTGTCTTTCTGTGTCCACGTCCTGTTCTTGTCTCTGTCTCTCTGGTATTTCATTACTTTCTGCTCTTTCATGTAAAGACTTGTTTGTGACTCAGTCTTTGTGGGTCAGCCTGCAGGTGGTCTCAGACCCTCCCGCCCGTCGATGGCCTTCATGTTGGGTGTTTCTCTGCTCAGCTGTGGTGCGATCAAGGGCTGTTGTTGTGTGGGAGAGTCTGGTTCTGGATCAGTCAGCTGGCACCAGGTTGTTCTGGTACTGTACCCTCAGTGAACCCAAGAGCTCTTAGTCTTGGAAAATCTCTTATTGGACAGTTAGAACTGGTGTTTGGCTTCAGCTGGGCCTAGTTTCTGTGCAGAAGATCTTCCTTTATGGAAGGTAAAGTGGAAAACTCAGAACACCATCAAGCTCCATGTTTTCTGTGACGCAGCAGACTCACTGGATGGAAACTGCAGAAAAACAGGAGGCATTGTGACGTTAATAACCGAGAAATTAGATGATTATTTGATTTGATTTATTTATTTATTTATGCACATGTGCAACTAGAACTATGGTGAAGTCATCTAAACAACATTTGAAGAATAAATTACTGCAATAAACAGACGTAACTGAAGCAACTCTCACGGCTGAGGAGAACAGATCTGTCGTGCACATGGACACAATTACTTTAATGTCTCTTCTCCAAGGGCATCATTTTCAGCTAAATCCTCTTTTTTCTGCCTCAATGTGTAAAACACATGTCCACCTTTTGATCTGCTCAAGACGGCGAGGGTCCTGCGTGTGGAACCAGTCAAACTGGGTCAAATATTGGTTGGAGAGATGTGTTTGCTTTTGTTTAAAGCAAGCTGGACTCAACGTTGCCATGAGGACCGTCCAGACGGTCTGAAGATGTTGGTCTTCATAAACAAAGTGGGACTCTGAGCTCCAGCAGCAGACATGTTGTGGACCAGCTCAGACAAGTAAAAAAACCACGGTTTCATCCACTGAAAAAGGTTCCGATTAGCCAGAACCTTGCTCCCAGTCTGCCGGAGCTGAATGTGACTCACACCCAATTTGATTGCCGATTATATAATTCTTATATAATGATGGCTTCGTGTCAGCAGAGAAGAGCTGCAGCAGTTTTATCCAACATCATGAATCTTCCAGAAACAGCTGCCTTCATGTTGTCTGACTGATGGAGCTGGAGGCTGTACATCTTTATTAACTGACATCTGGGTCAGCTCTGTGCCTCCAAACTACTGCTTTCTTTTCAGCAAAGTCCTAAATGTTTTTTTCTTGTTTTGGTAAGATCACTTTTCACCTTCAGAGGTTTGTGCTCGTCTGTCCTCAGGGACCTGTCCTTCTGTGAGTTATACCTCCAGAGTTCAGCTTAAAGACCTCAGAGAATTTGAGACAAGTTTTCCAGATGAAGCTGATTGATGGAGTTTTAGTTTCATCCTGGTGATTAGCTTTTCAACTGTAATGTGTTCATTATGTTCTAAAAACCTCAGAAGCTCAGATGTATTAAACTCTGTTTAATGTATGGGTTAAAGTTTATCTGTTCCTTTCATTAACATCCACAATTCAGACCACCTGTCAGACCACCAACCTGCTCTCATTTAAAACCTGGACAAATAAAACATGTGTTTGTCCAACTCTACATCTGTCCTCAGCTAAAAAAAAAACTTTTAACCTTGATAAGCTTCTCTTTTTGAAGTTTGACTGTCAGTAAATCAATATAAAACTGTTGTTTTTCTGTCTTCCACCTCCTGCAGAACTGGTCCAACCCAAAGACCTTTCCTTCTCTGAAGTTGGACCCAGAAGCTTCCGGGCCTCGTGGCAGATAGACGCCGACAATGTTGAGTTCTATTTGATCCAGTTTAAGCCCGAAGAGGACACCAAAGGACATTATGTGTCCATGTCTGTTCCCGGGGACACTCTGACTGCCGTCCTCCCCCACCTCACCCCTCTAACCCGCTACGAAGTCAAGGTTTCTGCTCAGTATGCGAAGGGGGACAGCCTACCTGTGACGGGCCATGAGACCACATTAGAAGGTATTTGTCTCAACGTCTCACTACAGTCACCGGGTTAATTAATTTAATTTGATCAGGACAGAGCACATTAATCAACATTATAATTCATAGCAGTGTAAATATGCAGGAATTAGCCCAATAGCTACATTTTATCCTTTGTCCTGACAAGTAAGCACAAAAAACAAAACACCTCCTGTCTGGAAAGACATAAGACTTAGCTAAAGTTCTGACCAGTTCTGACCTGAATGGTTTTGTGATTTTTTTTTTTTTTCCTGAGATGATGTTAAAGTTAAACAGGCGATTTGTTAGACTTTCGTTTCTAAAGTTTCTGTCTTAGCAGTTAAAGATTCCGTAAACTTAAAGTAGGTCTGAGATGGTTCGAGTTCTGGTCCAGGAAGGAATTCTTGGCTGACGATCAGGTGGTTCTGATCCAGAGGCGTCTGCAGACATCTTGTCATCACTTTGTGTTTGGAGGCTATAAAAACCACAAACATCTTTAAACCTGGAAATTTCAGATTGTTTTTTTTTCTTCAGAAATGAAGAAAACAGAAATTAGACTTTACTGTGACATGCCAAAGACTTTTATTTTGAAAAACAGTGCTCTCCTGAATGCTTTTATTTTGTAAAGCAATTATGTCTGGAGTGCTATTATTTATGTAAAGCTGTTGTTTCTGTAGCGCTTTTATTTTGTAAAGCAGTGTTCTCCTGAGGGCTTTTAGTTTTTAACGCAGTTGTGTCTGGAGCGCTTTTATTTTGTAAAACAGTTGTTTCTGGAGCACTTTTATTTTGTGAAGCTCTTGTGTTTAGAGTGCTTTTATTTTTTAAAGCAGTTGTTTCTGCAGCACTTTTATTTTGTAAAGCATTCTCCTGAGGGCTTTAGTTTTTTTTAAAGCTGTTGTGTCTGGAGTGCTTTTATTTTGTAAAGCCATTGTTTGATTGATTGATGATGCCTTCATTGTCATTGTACGGAGCACAATGAAATTACACTTAAGAACACTCTTTCAAGAAGACACACGTTTCTGGAGTGCTTTTATTTGGTAAAGGCAGGGAGTGGCAGCAGGTCTCACAAGTTGACCCTGGTGGAACGTGGACTCCTGACCCGCTGCGGTTGGTCTCCAGCCCAGACGCCACCCATCGAGCCTCTCCTCAGATCTGTCCTGTCTTACAGGGAAAGAATGAAAAACAGGCAGAAGCTCTGAAAGTTTTGGGACAGAACCCGGTCAGGATGTTCTGTCAGGTGACAAACAATAAAGTGGAGCCATTTTTTCCTCGAGGACAAGGCTCTCCGTGCTTCGGCAGTGGCTGCTGGCCTCGTTAGGGAGGGATGACGTCTTTTCTGAAGACATTTAAGTTTGTGAGCCAGGAGCCAAAACTCTGCAGACGCAGCTGGAAACAAACAGACCGTATTTTTGTTTCCATGGCCACAGCTCCTGGTCCTTCCAGCTCCTTCAGACGCTGCAGCTGTTTGTCCTCCGAGGTGGTTTCTGAGTTTTTGACCTTATTTAAGGGACAACTTTAATCCCAGTCTGCAGTTCTCCAGTGGATTTATGTGTTTCTGGAACGTGTTCTGATTCCACTTGGTACTGGACCAGAACTTTATTACACTGTGATGGAGGCTGAAGCTCTTCATGTGCTCCCCCTCTAACTCTTCTAACAGAATCAGAGCCAATCAGAGATCAGCAGTGAGTTCTAACAATAAAACTTTTCCTGACGTTTTATTGTGAAAATATTTCCACTTCCTGGACCCTCGGACTCTTGGCTCACTGTTATCACCTACTCTGCTGCTGCTGGAGCAGCTGGGAGTTCGGTTCTGATGTCAAGGCAGGTTCTGACCCGTCCAAGTGTGTTCCTTTCAGTTCAGGACTCAGTGGATCAAAAGAGGTCCAAAGCTGGGTTTTGTTTATTCTGCTCCAGTAAAGCGTAATCAACACAGATTATCAGGTTATTTATGAATATATTTAGTGAAAAACTCATTAAGGTGTAAATTTTCCATAAGAAAGTGTTTTAATCTTTAAAGCGAACTGAAATAAAACCTGGAATTTTCTTTCTCCGTCTTTATGGACAATTAATGCTGTCGTGGTTCCAGGAGGAAGTTTAGTTTTATGACTTTAATGAGCCAAGAAGCTCAACTAATGGATGCTTTTATTGTGGGGCTCTGAGTAAAACCTGGAGGGAAACTAAATCCTGACCAGGACCAGTGCCTCTGTAGTTCTCTGGGTCAACTTTCAGAAGTCTTGTTTATGGATTTAAAAATTTTTTAGTCACATGACAGAAACGGACCTCCGGTACCTGTCACATCAAAAACCCAGCAGGTCCAATCCATGTTACACCATAATCCAAGGCCTATCATGACTCTTGGTCCACCATGATCCATGATCCACCATGATCCATGATCCACCATGATTCATGTTCCACCATGATCAATGATCCTCCATGATTCATGTTCCACCATGATCCATGGCCCACCATGATCCATTATCCATTATCTATGATCCACCATGATCCACCATGATCCATGATCAATGATCAGTGTTCCACTATGATCCTTTGCCCACCATGATCCATGATATATGATTCACCATGATTCAGGTTCCATAATGATCCATGGCCCACCATGATCCACAATCTATAATCCATGACCCACCATGATCCTTGATCTATGATCCACCATGATCCATGTTCCATAGTGATCCATGACCCACCATGATCTATGATCCACCATGATCCATGATCTGTGATCAATATTCCACCATGATCCTTGGCCCACCATGATTCTTGGCCCACCATGATCCATGATATATGATCCACCATGATCCATCTTCCATAATGATCCATGGCCCACCGTGATCCATGATCTATAATCCATGTTCCACAATGATCCGTGACCCACCATGATCCATGATCTACGATCCACCATGATCCATGTTCCACAATGATCCATGACCCATCATGATCCATGATTCATGATCTATGATCCACCATGATCCATGATCTATGATCAATGTTCCACCATGATCCATGGCCCACCATGAACCATGATCTATAATCCATGTTCCACCATGATCCGTGATCCATGACCAATGTTCCACCATGA